TTATGAAATCATACATGTAAGTGTGGTCAAAGCATAGATGCAACAGCTGTAGAAGTTTAAGTGAGAAGTCACAGAATAAACAGTATAGTTGGTCCACAAAACAAATTCATATTAAAAGGAATACTTCATGAATTGAGTCGTTCTTCATATCAGGAACATATATCAGCTCCTGTAAAGTCAGTCATTTTTTGGCTAATGGTTAAACTATTCAGCGAATAGTATAATGTTTACATGTATGAATGAATCTCAACAATCAATGGACATAATCAAGCTTATATCTCTCTATTAATTTTTATTGTTAATTTGACATCATTATTTTATAAGTGAATTTACATAGCCTAAAATATATACTTTCTAGCAAATTTACCTAAGTAAATATCAATAAGCACAAAAAATGTAGTTAAATGACTAAATCCAATAATCAGAAAAGGGAAACTTAAATTTAAGCTTAAAGTTCGAAAAAAAGAAAAAAATCAAACCAAGACTTGTTCATCTAAATAGCTGTAGTAGACAAACTTTTCCTACTATTCGTATAAAATAATTGTCGTATATAAAATTTTTCATYATCGTAACGTGGCAATCAAACAAAAAGATTACATGCACAGTTTATAAATAAAATGCCATCCTTGATCGAAGGTTGACGACATCATAAYTCGAGTTTCGGTCAAAATTTTTCAACTTGAGACATAAATAAGGCAAAATATGTATCAAAGATAAAATCTTCTTACCTGTTATATACACTAGAAGATCATTATCAATCAAAGGGAATTTTTTTCGTAGAAATATTTCTGAAAGTTGCGAAGAACTACATCCATTGGTGTCCGCCATTTTGAATCAGAAGAAAGAGGGAGACTGGTARGTAATGGTGCAATAACACAGGAGTCCCAAAACTAGAGAAAGTAAGGAAGAGAATGGTGTTACAGTTATAGCGAAACAGCGGTTATCTGCGTTGAAGGTGAAAATGGGGTATTCAGGAAAATGAGATCCCTAGACAATCGCCATCTTAAACTCAGGGTCCTTATAGAGCTCATTTCCATTCCTTTGCTTTGTTTTGTTTCAAATCACTTTTGTCGTAAAAGCATCTATACTTTTGATCCCACTGCGATTTTCACCAACTGGATTTTCACAGAGTCTGCATTTCTCTTATTTCTTTTCTATATTTCTCTATATTCATAGGAAGTTTAATTACAATATAAACGCACCTTGAGTCATTATCACTTACGAATCCGCACTTGGTGTCAGAAGGAAGCTGAAAATAGTGCTAGTTGGACAAAAGAAAACAAAAGGATTAGCATAAAATAGGTTTAAATGCTTTGGAACAAATGCGAAAGAATAAGGCATCGTGCCGAAGCATTAACTTGCCATCGCTTTGATAACCAATAGTCTGGTAGGTTTTCATAACAAGTAGTGGCATATTTAGCCGATTCTTGAGTACTTCTTTGTATCTTAGAAGTCTTAGAATAACGTATGTAATTTTAACTGTAAGCTAACTCGTTTTTTCTTCAAATAGCAGTCAATTTAGTTATGCCTCTTTGTGAAGTAGCTTTTCGGGCCGTATAGGACTTGATACGGTTTCTGCCTCCCTTTTAAAGCGGAACCTCTTTCTAATAGAACGATTTCACGTAGGCGTTTTTAACATGGAAATGAGTTTTTCGAGTATTTAACATGCAAATTAGTTGAAACCTAAGCCACCGGTAGCCCAAACGTATTATCAAAGGACGAGTTACCGCCGCTTATCAATTTTAATTGAATGCACATGTCAGGGACCGCGGCACATATTTTGGATCTGGGGGTCTAACGACAGCCAAAGGCGTGAGTATTAAGGGACTCTGGGCCTCCCCCAGGAAATTTTGAAATGACAACTCTTGGAAATACGATTTCCAGCGTTTTGAGAGACATCGAGGGCATATAAAAGGGGTCAATTTTATGTGAATTTTTCAGTATTTTTTGCGAAAATTTTGATATTTCCTTGCCTCTAGTACGCACGTGCGTATATGCGTAAAGGACGCTACACTCCTGATTCCAAAAGAGTTAGACGCGGTATCGACACAATATCGAACATCCGATAATAATATCTAAAATAATTATATTTTGACCAATTCTTAATGGTATTTAATAGTACAATTCCTATTTCACAGACGGATGAAAATGACTCTAGCTTGAGTAACCTTAAAAAGAAAAGCTTGCTTGGACCTCTTGTGCAATTACAATAACAAAACCTTTTGCATACGGTCTCATGGTACTAAATCCGCCATACTGAAGGGCAAAATTCCCACTGGGATGTCCACAATGCAGAAAAGTCGTCAAGCTTGACGGGCTGCGCCMCTTTTGTTTTTGATGTTGTTTTTATACKTTTGTTATCYAGTATGGCGGATTAATAGACCCTACCATGTGAACGTTAAATGCAATTAAGACCTATTTTAGATTTAGATGTTGCTTTCTTAATTTTAACGTCTGGACATTTAGGAATTGATTGCGTGTTATGGTGCTATGTTTGTGGCATTTTGTTCTAACAATGTATGCTGCTTACCATAGGTTGTAATACAGGAGAAAGGACAACGTAGAGATATAAAAGGTGATGAATCCATGCAGGATAATACTTGGATGGTTGTATCGMGTCATGATAACTCGCCGCACACAAATTTGCTTTTTTACAGTGGTAGCCTTCGTGCTCATCTTTACACATTTTGCATTCATTAAGGAATATATCTCAAGGTTGGTGTTTACATTGATAATTAACAATTAGACATCGAGGTCAAGTGGACTACGAGCTAATAGCCCATGAGGCCGAGTCGGCGAGGCCGAATGGGCTATTAGCTCGTAGTCCACGAGGCCGAGAGGTCTAATTCTTTTAGTATAAACGTACTAATCGGTCAAATAATGAAAACAAATTGAAATATCCTTAAAATAATTTATAATTTATAGTTTATTTATTTTGATTTTCCCGCGAGTGGTCTATCACAAATTAGACCATTAGTACTAGAGTAGCCAATCACAGCGTAGCCGTATGAGTGATAGACCATTAGTATGGTTATACTAATGGATGATAGCCTAAGATCTAGTACAGGTAAGTCATCATCCATCTTCTAAGAGCAATTCTGAACCCATTTTGCAGTAATTTTGACTCTCTTTCCGAGTTGATTGAAACCTATGGAGATAAAACTACTCGCATTGTAGAGTAGATTTAACAAACTTTAAAATTACTCCACCAGGTGGAGCAACTTAATTAAACTCCGTTGGTGTTATTTCAACTTTTTGAAAAGAGCAGTGTTCAGATTAGCAATATTGGAGTTCGATTATAGCTTGAGTAACCTTAAAAAGAAAAGGAAGCAATTTTCAACAATAAAATCTTTTTTGGAAACAATCGAACCAAAGATGAACTTGAGACGCTCAGAAACGTAGAACACGATTCACAACATATTTCGTAACTTTATTGCTGTACGTTCGAGGTTCAAAGCTAATATAAATGATACAAAGATTAACACGTTATTAAACGATTAAGAATATAAGAGATAAAAGGAATATAGCGAGACTTACATTTTTATCCCTTCTAAGGCTACATCGACGATAACACTAAAACTCTGTCTACACAAACTGTCTAGTACCAGTCCCGATACTCAGACGCGGACATCGGCWCCAACAGAACTAAACGAAAGTATCCTCACAATACTCTTCTTCACGGTTCCCTGCGCCATCTTGAAAGGTAGCCGTGACTTTGCATCGAAGCGCGACAACAAGTGAGCGTGCAATGACAGAAACCTTTTCTTTCACACCTACAGACAATTATACACAGGTATCTATCATTACACGCTCAACGGTTGTCTCGCTGATGTAAAGGCACGGCGGGCTAGCTTTCAAGATGACCGCAAGGAAACGTGAACGAGACTATTTGATTTGAGCATAGTTATATTTTGATTTATGTTGATCAATATCTTCGTTAATCTTAATTTGAAGTGATGTACGTAATTTTGGAGTAATTTCCTTATCTCTTTCTTTTTCAGCAGTTTTAAGATCAGATATATCGAGCCTATTGACAACAACAAGAACGATCCACTTTGTTGCAAAGAGTTCCGCAGGAAAATGTTCAATGAGCTCACTTTGATTCATGAAGAGTTARAATCGCTGTCAATAAAAAAGGACTCAAAAGTGTTTTTAAAGCTAGAAGCAGCTATTYGTCAAATGGGAATTAGATCGATACGGAAAAGCAATAYTTTGAAAGCGCAAACTGGTAATGTCTCAGAGAAACGAGATGTATGCCCAGAGGTTTTTCTAGGAGAAGATGCCGGATATCCATATTATTCTARAGGTTGGGTTCTCACGAAATGTTCCAAYGCCAAACCAATCAAWTCAGTSATATCTATTCTCATTAATGCAGTGGTCTACAACACGCAGGATGTCGARCGACTTAGTTACGTATTGGATGGGATAGCTGAATCATATCCCACTGTTRATGTATTGCTAGCCATTCAAGATAAACAGAGTATCAARAATATTGAAAAKTACGGCAACTTGAAAGTGTTTAACCATGGTTCCTCCTCCAAACCAGTATTAGGCAAAATCTGGAACATGCTTATTAAGAAAGCAACGACACCATACGTTTTGATTGCTCGTRATGTTGTRCACTTTTCCTGGCTGTCTCAACTTGARAGGCTTATTCGTGTTGTTAGTGAGATACCAAATGTTGGAGTAGCTGGGGGCTCTTACAGGAATTTATCCGGACACTGGAAAATGGGCTGCTTCCAAAGTACTATGAAGAACTATGTGCTGAAATACCAGGAAGGATACTTCCATTCCAGGAATGAATGCATGTTGTGTGACTATCTTCAAGGTCCTTTTGTGGCAAGAAAGTCTATCTTGCATTTTGATGAGACTTTAAGCGRTGAAGTTGTGTTTGAAGACATGTTTGTTTCTCTAACTAGAAAGGGTACATTGATAATGGGCTGTCCTGATGCCATGTTCTTCACAATGGGCGCAGTGATTAGTTCAAAAGAAAATGAAAAGAACGCTTGGACAGAATTTGCTAAGAAATGGACACTGAATCGCATTCATCTATCAAATGGAATAAGCCATTCCCTCTCGTGTGAAGACATAGAATTTAAGTGCAACTTACATTTGACTAGTTCAATTTTGCTTCCAGTTTGTTGTCAAGAACAATATGAACATGCCCTGAGGATCTTCCAGCACTTTGCAAATAAACACGACTTGCCATTTGAACTCGACACAGGTTCGGTTTTAGGAACGGTCAAGTTTAATGGTCTGATGCCATGGGACGTTGATGGAGATGTGAGACTTCTTGCCACAGATATTAGCATATTTAATACAAAAGAAACAATTGARCACTTCAAAAAGCATGGACTTCGCCTAATCGAGTACGAACCACCAAAATTCAAAGAAAAGGTAAAGGCTGATGGYACAGTCCGAATAAAAATGCCGGATCTTCACATTGAACTCTGGGGAAGACGACGACTGACTTGCCCRCAGTTTCTTCCAAAAGACCTACAAAAGAACTTCACATTAGCTCTTGTTAGAGGAACTTGGGTCAAGACAGTGTTCAGCCCAGGCCTCTTTGTAAGAAATCGATATGGCGTTGAAAATCTGAAACATTCCCAGTCGTGGATAATACGAAGAATGAAGCACAGCTCAGTAAAATATGACTCAGGTACTTTCTTGTCGTGCAAAAACCCAAAGCACCATTCCTGTGTGCACCATTTTCCAGCAGATGGAAACATCCCATTCTTTGTTCCTTGATGGTCACATATACATTCTGTCATAAGGCAGTATCTGATTGATTACAGGTATTGTCAAAGTTTACAATTTTCTGTTAATTAATTTGAATTTACTTGATTTAAATGTTGCAAAAATTACAAATCATTGACAATTCTTTTTTTTCTAAACATAACTGAAACAATATAGAGCCGTAGCCATATGTTTTGAGAAAGGTTGCCCTTAGTTCAAAAACATTTTAATAAATTTGGAAACGTAGAATATATAGTTAACGTTTCATGATAGGTATATGAATATAAATTTGATAGGAACTGATCTAATGGATTATACTTCARAAAGTTTTTCTTTTCTATAGCTGAAACATTTTGACAGAAATTTYGATAAGTAGAAAATTACATTTATCATGTGTGGATTTCATTAATTTGGTTATATAATTTGCGGAAACATCAATTTTGTCATTTAGCTTAGACTGAAATTCTAGGCGAAGATTGGAGTATTCTTGACAATCAGAAATCATATGTTGCTCTGTTTCTATTTCCTCATTATTGCAAAAAAGACAAAATCTTTGCTGTTGCGGTGTTTTTGGTCTAGTGTATCTTCCTGTTTCAATCGCTAATTTATGGTTACTAATTCTAAATTTCGTGAGTTGCTGTCTTTCTTGAAAGTTATTTATAGTAGTTAGATATTTTTCTTCTTCGTAGTATTCTTTGAATGTCCCATAAAAGGAGAGTTTAGATGAGTTTTTTACCATAATTTTYCATTTTTTGAAATAATCATTTTTCATTGAGTTTTCTAGYTCA